CATCATAATAATATAACACAGAAGATTTCGCGTCTCACCCACAGAATTATTTATACCTAATAAAATCCTCGAGTTTTCCAAAAACAAAAAACAAAATCGTAGACATAATATAATACCTATACCTACCAGCAGCATTTAGAATAAAAATTACGGTCTGAAAAATAAATAAATAAAACCTCGTCGTCGGATGTTGTTATGCGTACTGCAAAATATCTAATAAATTGTAATTATTTAAATGTTCGAATTAAATAAATGTAAATTACGAGAATGAAAAACTGGCACGAATTAGTTTGTTGTATATAAGTTGTGGACGTGACAAAAAAAAACTTTACGAATTAATATTATTTCGTGTTAAAAAAAAAAGTCCCGCAAATTTGTAAACAATCATTACAGTATAAATTATTACAACCGACATTTTTATTGTTTATTATTTATCGTATAATATAATATTATAATTTTATTAAAACATAAAGAAAAAAAAATTACGAGAAAAACGATTCTGATGAAACAAGTTCAGTTGAACATTTTTTGGTACATTTTTAAATAGACCTTTTATTATGAATTTGTAATAACAAAATAAATAACAAGTTTTCATCGTGTTCCAACTTATTTTAACGTGATCGATTTGAACTTATAATACTGATAAAATAAATTATAAATTGTGTAACCACGCATAAAACAAAAAAAAAAAAAAAATTATAATGGCTATAAATAACTCAATAATGGTCGGAACATTTTAAAAATTGTACAACGGCTATAGCGAGTGCTAATAAGCGCTGAAATTCGTTGAAATGTACTAATCTCTATATGGGTGGATTTAACAATTCGCCTGTGCCAAATTAAATGTTCCTCCCCGTACTACAAACTCACTTCTGTACGACTGTACAACAAAATATCTTTACATAAAAAAATATTTTCTCTTTGCTACTACATATTCATAAATAACTAAAACGTTCCAATGTAAATATAACATCCATTTTTTTTAAAAGTAAAAATGTATACATGGAAAATTATAATTAATCACGTCGATCATATTCGCCAAGTATGCAGTCTTGTAATGTACAACACGGTCGAAACGTGCGTTGGACGACGAGCGAGTCAGACCACGTCGAATGTTTGTCCGTAACGTCAGACTATCGTAACCACGGTGCGAAATGAACAACACAATAAATAATATTCTGGATAATCTTATTATAGTTAAAAACAGCAGAGTTCCCTCCGTTTGCAACCTTGAGTTACATTTTTAAATTTTAAATAGTAAAATGAAATTGTAAAAATTAATTATTTTTATTACCTACATAAACACAAAATAAATATTCAATACAATTTGTAAACAGACTGAAACAAAAAAAAAACGTCTTCTTGTAAAATCTAGACTAAAGTCCTTTTATTCACTTTTATATGTGAATACTTCAAATTTAACCTAAAAAAGACGTTCTAGAATAATGGGGAGGACGAGTGTAGCCACTGTTATGTGCAATTTAATGTATACCTGTAAGTAACGATAAACCATTGCGAAATAAACATTCTGAACGAAATTTATATGATAGTGATGCTTTGTCAACAAATACATATGCTATATTATAGTAAAATAATTAAATAGGCTCTATATATTTTCTACAAGAATACTTGTTTAATGTTGTACTAATTTTCTCAATTTCCCTACGTTTTTCCAAGTTTTCCCATGTTTTTTCCTAGTTTATCACTTTTGCTGAGAAGAATCTAGAATAAAATCGAAAAATGACCTTTTCCTTGTAGAAAAATTGCTATCATTAAAAGTTAAAGCAAAATTGCAGGTAAAAAAGATGTCCACAGAAAAAAAATTCATAATATTATACAAATATATTTCGTACATTTTCTCGGTTTTTTTTTCAGTTTTTAGTATTTGATGAGAAAACACTTGAGAAAATTACCTCCTTAAAGTACTTCCCCACACCGATTTCCTTTCGGAAAAGTTGTTACACGTAAAAATCGGAACAAGTCCTCTGGTAGAAAAATTGACCACAGAAAAAAAAATAGAAAATAAATATCTTTGTAAAACTATAAGCGTCTTCACTCCACTCAGAATCTAAAGGAATGTAAAAAAAAAATAAATAAAAATCCTTTTTCGAATCGATAAAATGACGGTGGACAAATACGGACGAAAATGTTTTGCACTTTGGACGATTGTAATAATCGTAATTGTGCGTATAGTTAGACCACACGCGTGCATAGTGTAACGAACGATTACAATAATATAACGTACCTATAATTATTATTTTCTACCGCTTCGCGATTTTATATACGAGTATATTATTATACGTGTATATAGATTCGGTATTTATTAACCGCTTATGCCTTATAGTATATATATATATATATATACTCAAAAAGTCTTTTCGAATACGATGTTTCGGATTATTTATATACACACGTATATAATTTTAGCGAGAGCCTTTCGAGGGGAGGGCGTGACCCTGGACATTTGCCAGCGGTTGTCCGCGCCCCTTCCGCCGGCCGGCCGTTGGGCTGACGGATGGATGGTATCTCGTTCGGAACATTCCTTATATTCGTACACTGTCGTGACATTTTAGGTCGTATTATATATCAATAGCTCCCCGGCGGCGGACGGGGGACTTGACCGAGTGGCTATAGAATACTGCGCGCGCGAGAAAGTCTCCTACAACCTTTTTACGTCACGCCGCCGCCGCGGGACGGGTTAAAAATGTAAAATTTGTGCCCGCCGTCGTCTCTATACGCTGCAGCAGAGAGTGATGACAAGACGTCACGGCTGCGGAAGATGTATTATTATAATAGTATAATATTATGCTCACCTATATATATAATATATTACGTCGTACAAATATGGTTCTCTTGTATTTGTCGTATTTGTCGCGGTCGATCGATACGAACATTATATTATTATGTTGTTATTATATTCGATATTCGATAATAATATTGTGTTATGTTTCGCCCGAAAACGTTGTAATTTAGTGGGGTCATTATCACGGTTTCGGGCGAAACTAAATTTATCGAGTGCCACTAAATAATAGAAAAAAAAAAATTGAATCTAATATTTTCAGACGTTTTTGACGCTGCCTCCGTCTCTCTAATTTTCGAACACGTGTTATAAAAGTATTGCCATGGTATACCCCGTAGATATATTTTTTTCCCCTCTGTTTTCACAAAAAAATATCAACCGTCAACAATGAACTTTCAAGATAATAATAATAACAGGAAAAAAAAACTAATTATCGTTATTATTTTAGTTAGATTTTAAAGTGAATGCTATGCGGTAGACTTACATTATACTTTTATATGTAAGTTTGAGTTTTAGATTCAGAGCGCAGCGAAGGATTTATTGATTTTACTATGATGTGTGTTTTTGTGTTTTTGTACTTCTTCTGTCTGGGAACAACTTTTCAACAAGAAAACTTGCTCTAAAGTATTAACTGTAGCACCTTTTATAAAAGGTAATTTTCTTCCGTTGGTGCATTAAGGAGATCAATTTTTAATTTTCCAAGGGGTTTTCGAAATAATCGGGAAAACCCCGAAAAAAAATATTTGGTAAAACGACAAATATTTACGGTGCGCTTTGACGGTATTACCGTTTTCATTGTTTTTATTATGTTAACACAATGTTTTCTACCAGAATTATTAAACAAATCGAAAAACAAGATATCGATTTGGTTTCTTTTGATACGTAGTCATTGATAAAGAAAGTCGGTTATTGATACCTAAAGTATTTTTCATAGGAGAATTGGGGAAGCCGAAAAACAGAAAATTGCGATTTTTTCCAATTTACAGCACAACGATTTCATTATTTTACATTTTTACGACTTATGTTTTCTACCATAAATATTACTCCAATAAAAAATATCAAGAGATCTTTTTTTTAAAATTTGTAATCTAGTTAATGAATAAGAGAGCCATGTTTTTATTTTCTTTATAGTTTTTTTTAATAATTGAGCAAAATCGAAAAAAAATGCAGAAAGTACGAGGAAATGTAAGAAAATAATTCTTTTATTATTTTCAATTTAGTTTTTTTAATGTAATTTTATTTAATATATTCGTAAATACTTGCAATTTTACACAGAAAACTTATATTTGTTCTTTTTAGACGTGGTAAAATTTTCAAAATATTTGATCCATTTTTGAGATAATTATTTGGGCATACATCAAATGCGTGGAAATCGCAGGTAAAAAAGAAAAATTATAGGATAGCAAAAAGTAAACATCAATTGCGTCGGTACAAAAATGGTTTATTAAAAAGGAATACATCTATTGCGCCGAAAATTAATAATAATTTAAATAAATAGATATGTCTTAGTTAATTTTTAGTATAATTTTAATAAAATTTGTATAATAATTTATAATTCTATCATATAATATATTTCTATAATACCTTCTTTACGAAATTCGTCTAATCTAGTTGGTAGTTACAACAGTCGTTGAAATGTATGTCGATGTGCAGATTTAAGAACGTTGATGAAATTAGAATTGAGTGCACTGACTTAGTTTCGAAATCATAGATTTTTGAAATTTTAATATTATGTGGCTGTTACACAATGTGTTATATATATAATAAATATAATAAATTTATATTATAATAAATAAGTCAATATTGCCGATTTCATAGTATGTTGTATGTATATCATAGTACAATAAAGGTAACTAACCTAACCTAGAGATCGCGAGTTCAAACTCGAGTTCAGAAAAGTTATTTTTACAAACTAAGGCCGAGTAAGTAATAGGGAAAAAAAACAAATGCACTTTGTTACAAAAAATACAATTTGATGTAATTTAGTAGTTGTCATGAAAATCGTAATTATTACGGCCTTTCAATACTTGTGTAATCGAACTTCGTTCCGAATCATTCATCAATGGTTTATCGTTGGTTACAGATATAAATTAAATAATTTTATGAATCCCTGCACCTCCCTCACTACTTATAACAGTGGCCACACCCGTCCCCAGTATAAGTTCTTTTTTTTTTTATGTTTTTATTAAATTATTTTTAGCTGCAGCATATGTTACCGATACACAGTTTGTGCATAGTTTTGTTTTTCGTCGGTTACCCGAATATGTCGAACAGGTATAAAATTAAAAATAATTTCATGTCTCTACCGGGACCGATCATTGCGCAAGCGTATTCTAATGATCACAAAATTTATTTTCTCCGGGTGGGCTGATTGATTCCCACCCGTCCTCATCGGCTGTATCTTTTTGATCAGTGGAACGAGTAAATAACGAGATTTCGTCGTCGACAGTCCGTTTCGTGTAGGGTTTTAATTCCTCGCCCGAGTTTTATATGAAAGTTCGTGTCTCGTTTGATAAAAAAAAATATATGTTTCACTATATACCCGTACTCTTAAACAGATTCTGCTAGTATTCGGGATGACTCGATTAAAACAACCTGAGCAAACGTTTAAATTGCATTCGTATAATTAGACCGGTGGAAATAATGTACGAAGCCGCTATAACGAACTCGACAAAAAATAAATAAACAACGATATAAATGTGCGTTTTTCTACCTTTTTTTTTCTATATAAAACCGAAAGATAAACGATACATCTCAGATTATTAGGTTTTAATATTTTTTTTTTTTTTTATATTCTCCGGGAAAATTCGAAAACTTCTGTAGCTGTGAAAAACAAGAGTGTAAGACAAAGTATATTATGAGATATTTTTAATATTTTGGAAATAATATTTACGTTTTCCAAGACCAAATACATTTTATACTAACAGTGTTTTTATAAAAAAAAAAAAAACATACACTTAGTGTCTATAATATACTAGATGTATCTACAGTTTTTGATAATTTCTTATACAATCATATACCTAAGATATATTATATTTGTACCTATATAGAAATACAATTTTTTTTAACGTGAGTATTATGATGTGAGATAGAATCAATTTTAAAACATAGCAACATAATTTGAAAATAATAACCACCGGAATACACTAAGAAATACGACACGCTTATATTAATAAAAATAATTTTGTCGTTTTTACGATCGTTTCAGGAGACTTTGGACACTGGCGATGACGGTGAGTGCAGTTCCGGTTCACAAGCGGACAACATCGAGTACGTGCGTCGGAAACGTCGGTTGCGCCGGAAACAGAACAAACTGCCATGGTCAGTGGTCAACCCGGACGAGAATTTCTATTTCAACTGGCTAATGGTGTTGACCGGGTGCACGCTGTACAACCTGTGGACCGCGATCGTGCGGCAGAGCCTGCCCGAGCTGCAGCGCATGGCGTCCGGCTGGTGGTCGGCCACGGACGCGTTCAGTGACATGGTGTTCCTGTTAGACGTGGCCGTTCAGTTCCGCACCGGGTACCTGGAACAGGGGTTGATGGTATACAATACCAGAAAGCTGGCCGGTCACTACATCCGGTCCCGGTCGTTTCTCTTTGATCTCATCGCCCTCACGCCACTCGACCTGCTCCAGCTCAAAATCGGCGTTCACCCCATACTCCGATTCCCCAGATTCATTAAGGTAGGTATACCCATAATAGTTCGATCCACGGTCCGAACTTTAAGGTCCATTTCCCCAACCTGTAGTTCGAATCGTTCATACACGTTTGAAATTCAAAAGATTGATTTCTGGAACCCTGCAGTAAGTTGCTGTAAGAATTAACTTTACTCTTCCGTCGCACACCGATATGAAATCAAAAACAAACTGGCTAAAACTAATAATTCTCAAAAATTAATCCCGAAAAATGTAGAATCATAAGTTTAATGGTCATAGTCTATAGAACCCGAATTTGTTATCGATTTTAAAATTCATCCCTTATTTAGGGCGTTAAGAGAGTGTGTCTTATTTGTATATAATTAGTCGTGTAAAATAACCGCGATATATTGACTTAACCAAACATAATCAAGCTAAAACTTAAATATATCTCTTTTTTTTTCAACAATTAATCAATTAAGTCTATTAAAATATACGAAGCATTGTTTTGTTAAATAAACACAAATACGAGTAATTATAATTGTACAAGTTCAAACAATATTTTATATTTTTAATCGTATTCGTCCGTTATTTCTTTACTTTCGTCTATTTCACTGTCACGGTAACAATCATTGCCTTAATGAAATAAAAATTACATAACAAAAATAAAAGAATTTACTGGATTCTTGTTTTCTTTTGTACTTTAAACAATATAATATAAAATAATACAATGAAAAGAAATATTTTTGGAATAATTGTATATATTGAGTAGTTCAATAACTTATTTTAAATAAAAAGTATAAAAAGTTAAAAAAAAAAAAGATGTCTAAATATTTTCTAGATAGTTTTTTTCGATTTTAAACCAGTGTGTACCGCCATTATGGTATATAATCGACATTTTCATTGTCCAATTGATGTTCATCGACCGAACCGCGTGACTTTTATTTCGTCCTACACGTGCGTAACGAGGGTTTTAGTCTATAAGTTTCTTCTTCTGTCTTTAAAGACCATATTTGAATGATAAATTCACCATCTCGTTATGGACTTAAGTAACTCTTATAAAAATTTTTACTGATATTGTACCTTTACTAACATCTATATATTTGTTTATTTATTAGACTTTAAATGCGTGTTTATAAACCTGTTTTCAGTTTGTTCCTCACCAGGAAATTACTTCATGGATGCCCATGTTTATAATCTTTCTTTCTTCTGGTTTCTATTTTCTTTTTTTCTTTTTTTTGGCTGCTCTATGGGGTAGTTGTTTTATAATATAATATTATCTATAACTATGGTGGTTTATACTGACTACGTGAGTATACTGTAGCAGTCCAAGTTTTATTCGATTTCTGTGCTCGCACATGACAAATTATTTCTCAGTGCTACGTGTATGTATAGGTAGTCACAGTTCGACGAAAAACGTAATAAATGCCACATGTTTCAATATTTGTTTTTTTTATTGTCTCGTGAAAACATGCGCGTTGTACATTAGTCAAATTGTTCGATATACCGTAAAAAAAATATATATATAATACATGTCACCTACAAACAAATGAGCTTTCACTCAATATCCGATCCCGATATACGAGTAAGTACAGTACCTACCACACAGACAGTAACAACTGTAAAATATAGAAGTATTTTTTTCCTTTTCTGCAAAATTTCAAAATCGGTCATTATTATAATAATTATTTTATAGGTTTTTCTTCATAAATATTGAAACAAAATCGATGAAATGAGTGGCGAAGAGCAATACTACAATAATAAATGTCGTCTCAAACTTTTCTCATAGTCGATAAACACGCGAATGAGGTTACAAATGTTCGTAAATTGTAACAATTATTATAAGCTCTCCTATAAGGTTTAAAAAAATGATACAATTATATAATATTATAACCACTACTTTTAATGTTTGCAATTAAATGTGAAAAATAGAGCCATTTGGTGACGATGGGTTCTTAAAATCAAAAACTAAACCACAAATCTTGATTAAATCTAATTCTAATTTCAATATTATACAACTATACCTACTTAATTATATAACTTGAAATGCCGTATGGTAATTATGAAGATATCGTATTATGATTCTTTAAGTTCCTTAATACAATTGTAAGATAAGTTGGAATTATTTTTAAAATTGTAATTCTTTTGATAAAAGGCATACAATTTTAATAAACATTTTTCAAATACACAAAAAAGGTTTTTCCGATTTTCAGTAAAATAATTAAATTTCTATTTCCGACATATTCTAGTAAAGAATCTAAAGAATCATAATCAGTGTTCAAAATTTAAATCCGTCAACTACAATTCTTATAGTTTTGTGCAACCCTTAACTTGGTTATTTTTTCGTTTTAGGATAATTTAACTAATTAAAAAACTTACCCAGCTTTGATTAACGCTTTTTATATGTACTTCAAGAATTTTGAATCTGTGACTTCCCAAAATAATATAAGCAGTAATAAAATGTCATTGTTATCGAAAAAAAAAAATAAACAATGACCCCACTTTTTTTTTCTGACGACGATCCGTAAACTGACTTTTCCCGTCCATGCCATCACTCTGTACATTTTCACTCGGGTTCGAAATATATTATACATAATAATAAAATAATAAATCACTGCAGAATCACATGGAGTCGCGCGAGGTCGCTGACGTCCCCGTGATGATGGATATCTGTGTGGACATATCTCTGATATTGTAATGATATTATTATTATTATTATTATTATTATTGTATTAAATAGACAAGCAAATTTCACGACTCCGATGACATCTTTTCGTCTTTGTAACCAACGAAAAGAGTTTTCGGTGTTTATTTTTTCTGTCAAAAGAAAAAACATCGCAAGATCGTTCCGATCCTTAATACCGAACCGTAATATTCAATAAGACGTTTCCCGAGAAATGGCCAAGTGAGTCTCCCCGACATTTTTTTACTTACTACAAATGATTATAAAATAATTGCATTACTGTTTCATTATATGAGATTATAGATTAGTGGTATTTAGGTACGTACGACGTGATCTCTACACGAATACAAATCGTATAGGAATTCGTTTAACTACAACCATTTTAACTATTATAAATCATCGTTATTTTACATTGACCGTTACGTACGTTTTAGTTTTTGAGTGGAGATTATTTTTTGATTTCCCCGTGCGTTTTTCCAATAAATGGGAAAAACCTGGAATAACATGGGAAAAACGGGAAAATAGGTACAATATTAAACAAATATTATTAAAGAAGTTATATAATACATATGTAATTATTTTACCATAATATGACATATTATATTATATTGTTGACAAAGCAACACTATCAACCGCACTCCGCTCAAAATCATTATTTTTCGTTTTTTAGCTATAGTTAATCGTTGCGTACAGTTTTACACTAAATTTCCCTTCGACTACCTTCCCAACTTTTGACCTACAACAGTGGCCCACCCATGTACGAAGTATGTTAGTCTTTTTTTTACGTTTATGTTATAACGAGTATTGTACGCAACTTGTGAAAAACTATTGCTAATATTTTCGCTTGTATTCCCCATTGGTACGATATAGTCATTAGTTAGTAGTTATATTCATAACAATATCGTATTATTAATTTATTTGTTCGTACAGTTCAAGTTAAAGAGTTACCTTAAAACGATACAACGCCATGCGATAATGTTATTCAAATTTGAATACTCGAACAAGCTGTAATAACCACCCCCCTATAAAATATTTATAAGAAAAATAAACTTATAAAACATATATTGCAGATAATAATGGTGCCTACTATATTTTACAATTAGACGTTATCTAATTTAACAATATACTTGTACATTCAAAACAAATTTGAAATTATCAATATACACAGACACAACTATTTAATGAAATAAAATTAAAATATAATCAAGGTAAAATTTCATAATTAAAATAACAATATTAGCCTGACCTGAAGACGCCACTAATAACTATGTTGCGATGTGTAACCCTTGTTATCTGCACCTACAAAAATGTATGCTATTAATTTGCATAAATTGTAGAAAATTAAATTATATAATATACCGAACAAAAGATTAGTTTGGAAATTAAATTAAAAATATACACCAAACATAATATAAACCGTGAATTTAGCACCACGATCGCCGAGTGAGATTTTCATCGCTTTTCTTTGTATCGTCTAATATTAAACGTAATCCTTTTGAAAAATCTTTTTAACTTTCCAGTTTTTCTTCGCACGATCGCAGCAGTTCAACTACCAAAACTACCGAGGAATATCACTGTTGAATACAATGTATAAAGTATTATCAGGCCTTATTCTTTTTGGAATGAGGCCTTTTATAAAAGATATCATAGGAGATTGCCAATGCAGCTTTATAAGTGGTAAATCTACTATATATCACATTTGCACAGTTAAACAATTAATGAGAAACATTTTGAATTTGAACATGCTGTTCATTGACTACAAACAGGCATATGATTATGTTAATAGAGAAGCGCTATGGAATGCATTTATAACCTTTAGGATACAAACTTAAATAGTGAAAGTGATCAAACTTTATATGTATAAAACGAGTTGTAAAATTAGGTTCAATCAGTACATGTCAGAGAAATTCGAAGTCAAGACCGGACTTTGATGACAGGGAAATACTATATCTCCAGTAATCTTTAATTTATCAGAAGTGGTAGTAAATAAAACTCAGAACAAGTATAGTGGATTTAACCTGGAAAATAACAGAGGAAAATGCAGAATACTAACGTACGCAAATGGTATTATATTAGGATCAAATATTCAAGAAATAAAAACGGGCACCAAGGAACTAATAATAAATAGTCTTTACCAAGTTTTAGCCAATGTCTTTACATTTGACTACAGATTAATAACTCAAAGACCAAATATATGGTAATATCTAGACGAGAAAACCATGGGGAATATTTGAAAGTCGAAAGTTATACATATGCAACAGTACATAGTTTTAAATACTTGGGCGTCACAATAAATAGTAAAAACAATTATTATAAAGAAATTAAAATAAGAACAACTGCAGTGAACAAATGCTATTATGGACTAACGAATATCTTAAAATCAAAACAAGTATCACTTAAATCGAACATTACACTACACAAGGTAGTTATCAGACCAATTATTTTGTAAGCGTATGAAACATGGCCAACTACCAAAAGAGATGAAGACAAAATAGCAATCACTCAAAGAAAAATATACGGACCAAAAAGAAATAATGTAACACAACAACATGAAATAAAAACAGTATAGAACTACAACAGTTGTATAAGGAATCGGACGTGGGCGCGTAAAATATTAGAGAATATATTGTTAGAACCGTATTTTGTCGGAAAGTAATTTTTATCCAATGATGATAACATGTAGTCACAGAGTGCTTATGATGAAATTTTAATTAACAGTTACGACAAAATACTTTCCAATAAATTATAGCCCGCCTATAGTATATATATATATATATATATATACTACAATATAGAAAAATTGCTTGGGCTAGTCATGTATGGAGAAAGAATAGTCTAATGAAAGCAATTTTAATATGGAAAACCCCATGGAAAAAGACCACTAGAAAGGCCAAAACAAAAGTGGATATAGACAAAGTGGAAAGGATTTTAACAGAAACTGGAATACGGGATGGAGAAATATTAGCACAGGATAGAGATTAGTGGAAGCAGGTTTGTGTTGCGGTAATGGACCTCATCGGCCTTTGAAAACGGAAGAAAAGGAATAAGTAAAATATGTATAGATTATGTAGATTATATACTATCTACTATATACTATTATAATAGTATCTTTAATATACGTATGCCTCGCAAATACAAAAATGTATCCTTCTGACTTGATTTGAAAGGAGGGAGGTCTGTAGGGATGTTCAAAGCTAAAATATCACTTTCCTTAATTATTTAGATAAATTAATTTGTATATTTATTTATTTATTCGTATCTGTAGATAAAAATCGTATGCAAATAGTTCAAACTGTATACCTATTTATCTAAATAAATTTATCCAGATAAGTCTCAACAATTAATATTGATATTAAGACAGTTTAAAACATCTATATTTAAGTAGCATGGAATCGCCACTTATGGCTATTTTAAAAATTTGTTTCTGTTAATATTTGACTTAATCGATATACGATTATCGACTCAAATTCAAAATACATTATAAGTTTACCAATACTAATTTTGAATTTCAAAGTCTTAAGAACATTACGGAATAAAAAATTAGTATTAATATTTTTAATAATCACATTTTCCCATTAGGGTAGATATCTTTTATTATCAATGTATTTGTAATAATTGATATCATCCGCTAAATTAATTAATGTAGATAAGTAGGTACAACAATAACCATGATGCGATTTATCAAATAACAAAATTACACAGTTAAATAAAATAAAAATTAATGGAATATCCAGATATCCGGAATATTGACCATAGGTAGTATGGTAGGTATATTATACCTGTACCGACAAATTTGAATAACATGAAATCGGTTTTTAATACAATATTTTTCAATTATTTACAATAAAATTAACAATATTCGATCAAATAATTTATAATTATTTTAATAATTGTATTCATTTTATACTGTTCTTAGTATTGTTTTGTTTTTTTTCTCCAGAAAGTATACTTATAAAAAATTCGATGTAATACAATCGTTTCTCTATAAGTATACGCTAAGTGCACTTTAAGCAATTCACGTATAGTATAATTTAATATTTTAAACTTTCTAAACGAAAAGTTTGTTTATGGAGAGATAAGGTTTACTGCAATATTGTTGCGTTAATGTTAAATTATCTAAGTTATAACGTCCGGAGACCTTATATATTATATTATGTGATCGATGTTTGACAAAGCTAATTTTGTTATTATAATATAATATATTATAAGGTTGGGGTTAGGTTAAAGAATCCGCTAAAGTATTCACAGACGCTCATTAAACATCACAGGTTACGGAAATTTAATTTTAATGCATAAAATATTTTCACAGAAAAGTTAACGAGTACGCCTATTAATGATAAACGTAGGTATAATTATTTATTTTGAAAAAAAAATGAGAGATAAATTATTATAATTATTATAATATCTAAAATCTTCTCTTACAATATTAACAGCATTCCTGTCAAGTCATCTGGCGAATTTATTCTAACCCGTAACCTCTCCCCAAATAAACACATAGAAATGATTTGTTGCAAGGCACTCAAGGTTCTTAGTTTTGTTTTTCGCTCCTCCCAACTATTCCACCTAGTCCTGCTCATCAAAATCCTCTACTGCGCGTTAGTTAGACCCATCATTGAGTACGACAGCGTGCTATGAGATCCAGATACTGCATTAGTCAGCGTTTCTGTGGAGAATGTCCAGAAAAGGTTTTTCCGCGCTGTTTCTTTCCGACTCTATATTCCTTGTCCTGTCTTCCCGGATTACTCGCCTGTTCTATGCAAACTGGGCCTCACAAGTCTGGTATACCATAGACAGGCAAGTAACATTTCATTCCTGTTAAATCTCTCCATTGGCAATATTGATTTTCCTACTCTTCTCTTCCTCATTAATTTTGAAGTTCCACATCGATCCACTCGATTCCATGTTCCATTCCATATTTCCCAGTCATCTTCTAACTTTCTTGAAAACTCATCAACCGTCTAATTTAGACTACTAACTGTAACCCCTCCTTTTTTACTTAATTTTCAATGTTAAATCCATGTAATTAACTAATTGTAAAATATAAAAAATTAACTCAAAGTAAACTGGGCTTGTCCCATATTAAATATAAATTAATAAATAAATATTTATTAAAAACGTAGAGAATACGTCAAAGTGTACAGCATTAAAGATTTTTATTGTTATTCGGTTATAAATTATAATAGAGACCTGTGGTTTTCACCAATCACTTATATTGGCTTTATATAGACATGGTGAAAATTTCAAAATATTCTAACTATTTTAAGCCATTTTATTAGTTACTTGATATATTCGTGGTTTTATATGTATTTTTTATTTTTATTTGGTATAGATACCAATATGTTATTACAATTATATAACTTAAGAGAAATGTTTGAAAATTTGACTCAAGGTACATTACAAGTCTTAATTAGTGTTTTAAAGAACAAATTTGTGTTACGGGCCGTTCGGACACAGCCTTTTGATGGGAAAATGTACAAGTGCGTTTAGGTCTACAAATCGTCTTTATTAGAATTTAAACAAAACACGGTTGACAGATTATATTTGTAAGCGAAAACTATACGACACCAGACCCGGGTGAAGACTTAGTTGTAATTATCAAGTATAAGTACACTGAAGAAATGACTGAACGGGTTGGCGTCGAGGTGACGGTGCTCCTCCTTCTCATGCGTCGGTGGTGGTGTAGCTGTCTCGACTTCTGGCTGAGCTAAGAGCTTAAGCTCCTATGTGTTCTTGGTGATGATCCCGGTCTCCTTATATATGTTTGTCGCCTCGATCGGGACCTGTGTGATAGTGGACGCTGCCGCTGTTGTCTGCTGGTGGTACGTCGTCTTTACCCGGACACTTTTTCCCTTTGGCCCATGAACACGTATCATCCGTTGTTGCATGGGAACGTCGTTGGTTTACCACATCCGTATTAATGGCTCTTACGTGCGTACACTTAATGCGACGACCGAATTCATATCTTGTCGCGTAGAATTATTAATGTACAATTAACTAACTTAAACACGTGAAGGACAGAGTCCATAATATTTGACTTTATTGTCATTTTTTTTTCTTAAGACCAAATTTTGACGAATATTGTAAAAATTACGGTATTACAAAATATGTGTTATCGAACTTCACTCCGAATCGTTTTTCGTTAGAAATGATTTATCGTTGCGGACAGATATAAATTAAATAACTTTATGTATCATATCCTATCTTTTCAACTTCCCATCTACAACATTAGCTGCGCCCGTCCCCACTATTAGCTTTTTTTATTATTAACAGCAGTCATAATATTTTATGAATATAATATTATATACCTATACGGAGTACTTAAACTTTAAACAAACAAAAGAACCTAAGGCCTTAAAATGTCAAAAAACGTTTCAAATAATGTGCCATCAGATTAACAGTTAACATTTTTTAAAGTATGACATGAGCAAATCAAATAATTTTTACTAACTAACCAAAAGTGTTTTCTGAGAAAAAAAATACATCCTTGTAAAATTAATAGCTTCTTCACTACATTCAAAATCTAAAAAAATTTAAATCAAAAAGTCTTCGATCTTCAGTCCTCTCTGAATTAAAAACCAAACTAATTAGTTAATAATTTTGTTCGTCCGCAGGTTTATAGAGTTTACGACTATTACTACATGGTGGAATCAAGAACCGTTTACCCGAATTTATGGAGAGTTATAAATTTAATTCACATCCTGTTGATACTGGCTCATTGGTTCGGATGTTTCTATTATCTACTATCCGAAGCTGAAGGATTCAAAGGAGACTGGGTGTATCCGTACAAGCCCGGCGAGTACGCTACCTTGACTAGGAAATACTTGGGCTCGTTGTACTGGTCCACCCTGACACTGACCACTATTGGCGATCTGCCCACGCCGGAGACCAATGCCGAGTAAGTATCATAAAATGCAGTTACAAAAAAAATCATGTCATCATTATTTTATCTCTAGAATATACACAAAAACGCTCACAGTTATCATAGTAATACATATAATATATCAATTACTTATAAAAATATTTCTTTACACAGGTACGTGTTCACTATTGTCAGCTACTTGATTGGCGTTTTCATATTTGCCACCATCGTTGGTATGTTGTGCGCCGCACAATCCATTTAAACGTCATCACTGCTATAAATGTTGACTCTACAGCATAGGTGTTTATCGGTATCCTTATTTCCAGGGCAGGTGGGTAACGTGATAACCAACAGAAACGCAAACAGACTGGAGTTCGAACGTCTGTTGGACGGTGCCAAGCTGTACATGCGACATCACAAGGTACCCAGTGGCATGAAAAAGAGAGTGCTAAGATGGTACGACTACTCGTGGTCCAGGTGAATATTGTTTGTTGTTTACGCGACTAATTGATAGATGTTATATAGCGTCTTTGAAATTCTATACACTCGCTCGTATATAAATCGCTAAACGACTGCTGATATGTTGAATGGTAACTCGATATACGTACTCCCCCTGAGTCAACACTCTTAACATAATAATTGCATTTGAATTTTCGTAGAATAATTATGTCACGCTTTCGCGCTGATGTTAAATTAATTATATCCGTATTCTTACTATATTGGCGGCATTATAATAACGTCCAAAATGTCTAAAAGCGTTTTTTTTTTGTTTTTCGTTTTTTTTTTTTTTTTGTGTATGTTGCCGGTTTGTTGAAGGGGCCGTATTCAAGGTGGCGGCGATATAAATACGGCGCTGGGTCTACTTCCCGACAAATTGAAAACCGAACTAGCATTACACGTGAATTTGGCAGTCTTGAAAAAAGTATAACATATCGACTATATTTTATCGTGTACCACGAAAAATAATTATAATGTAATAACACGTATACAGGTTACGATATTTCAAGAATGCCAACCGGAATTCTTGCACGACTTAGTTCTCAAAATGAAAGCGTATATTTTTACTCCCGGGGATTTAATATGTCGGAAGGGAGAAGTGGCCAGAGAAATGTTCATCATAGCTGACGGCATTTTAGAAGTCATAAGGTAAGTACGATATAACAAAATAAAAAACCTGTAAGCAGTAAAGTTCTAAGATTCGAATTTTCGCCTAACTGACTTGTTGACAATATGTCGTCTTTAAATTCTGAGCGTAGCGAGAAGTGTATTGGTTTTGTTATGATGTGTGCTTTTTTTTCTGTTTCTGTTTACAACTTTTCAGAAATCTTGCTCTAATCAAAAAACCACAAGAATGGTATTTTGTAGAATTTTAAATCTAGTTTGTGGATTAATAAGTTTATTTTTTGATTTTCCATATAGTTATTTTAATTACTGACGAAAAACGTAGAAAAAATAAGAAAACTGATTGTATTAACGGTTTCATAATTTTCGATTTTGTTTTTGTTGTATTTTAATTAAAAATAATCATAGAAACCTGAAATTTTTGCAGAAAACTTATATTAGCCTTTTCCAGACGTGGTAAAACATTCAGACTATTTTTAAACTATTTATAGGCAAGTTTTTATAGTTTTTATTTTTTTTTTTGTGTATAAAATTGTTTTAGTTCAATCAGAGATTTACACGAATTTCATCTTAAGGTTTACTTAATGACCAAACAAAAAAAAGTTAACCGTAATGTAGTAGTTTTTTTTATAAGCCTTTTAAATATCAAATGTTATCAAATAACAAAAGTATTGGAAATGGGTGTTTTCATTTAAAAAAAATCAATTTTATTGTGCATGCACACACTGAAAGGGTAAGAAATTTGAAAATCTGTACAAAATATGTATTTCAGTATTTCCTATCCTCTCTTAAAAACCCCATTTCAATCCAAAGTCACTGAACAGAAATATTTCGTGTTACCATTTGAATGAAACACACTGTATATTTATATATATATACGGTCAATGAGGGAACTTCCAGGTTTCAGCTCCTTACCCTACCTGCGTACGCAACTAATGTTAACACAAGACAATTATCAAATATCACTGTACTTTTAATGCACAGATAACTAACTCAATCTATTTACTTACATATAATATTATCCTACCATTAGACATCAAAACAACACGATCCTTTAATACTTTAAAAACAAAATTAACTAGTTGGCTGCAAAATGAACTAAACATAAAACTTTAATTATTCATACCTTTAATCTAGTAGCTTGCATTTGTATTTTATCATACTGCAATATACATTAAGTCTACATGTATTAATTATTGTTACCTACATTGTATATATTTAAGTTAGTTTCATCTAATAAGACTAAAATTGTAAGAAAAGTTAAATGAAAATTATTATTATTATTAGTTTCCTTGTTACAAATTGTGAACTTGTGAGCCCCCACACGAACCTGTCCAGTGAGGTCCATTATCTTTTCGAAGAAATAAACAATAATAATAATTATATAAAATTCGATTCACCTTAAAAAAAACTCTAATTCCCAGTTTGAGCTCATTTCGTCCAGAGCGAGCCGCTAAAAGTGCCCAAAAATACCGGGATAAAGGTATGCGTATATTGTATAACAGAAACAATGCAGTGCAATAGTCTCTATTTTCGGTGAAAAAACGAATTATAGTTTTTTTTTAGTTATCTTTCCGTACTATATTATGTGTATTATTATAGCAGTGAAACTGGTCATGTTCTGACAATAATGAAAGCAGGTGATTTCTTCGGAGAAATAGGAATTCTCAACTTGGATGGTTTTAATAAGTATGTATAATGTATACAATATTTTCTTTATGGTTTTATAGTACACATAATCTATCAATTACACATATTACCGTCAAACGTTCAAATTTTAGGAGAACTGCCGACGTACGCTCTGTCGGATATTCAGAATTATTCAGTTTATCTCGTGAAGATGTTCTTGCCGCAATGAAAGACTACCCGGAAGCTCAAGATATTCTTCAAACGCTCGGCAGAAAGCGCCTGATGGAAGCGAGAACTGCAAATAAAATTGGTAGGTAATATTAAATGAATTATTAATAAATCGCATAGTATAATTAAAATTATTGTTAAATAACCATCAGTGGCCGATCGCATAAAATCTCGGGCTAACGCCGAGGCTGCGGAAAACTGTAGTGGGATAGTTGAAAAAATTCGTAGTGACGTCAAAGGACTCCGAAATGCATTTTCAAAAGGACGTCGTGGCACCAGGTTAGACAACGATAAAATTAAAATATTTAATGTGTACCTGATATTTTTTTTTTTAAATGTTGTTATACATGAATAAAATGCATAATAAATAAATAACTGCTGTACAAAGCATTTTAATTAAAATGTATAGAATATTTTAACGGTACAAAATATTAAAATACTCGTATATATTATGCATACAAACATATTTATAAAATTAAATTCCAACCTGCTAATTTTCTTTATTAAAATTAGTGTTATTATATTTAATAAATTTTTAAACTTTAATTGATGTTTTGTTTGATGTTAAATAAAAAAATATATATATATATATTTGTATCTTTTTTTTTTTTCAGAGTCCTAGTCGAAGAAAGCATGGAGTTACAACCGCTAACCAGTAGCGGTCGTAAATCAGAAAATACGAGTAGCAAAAGTATTTTAAGAAGAATGCCGCGCGTATGGAGCGATGAGTTAGCATCAGGAACCGATTATAGTGACGAGGACCCGAGACCAATATCTCCGGGCATTCCAATTCTGAACAAAGCGAAATCGGATAAAGAACCGCGGGTTATCGACTCAAAAAAGTGTTTGCTATCGCCTCCGCCTTCTACGTCTGAAACGGCTCGGAAAGAATCAGTGAATCAAGAAGTAATCGGCGCCGGTCTGCCGTTATTACAGAGACTTCTGATTCTCAAACAGAAAACTGACCAAGAAGTGATACAACAAAGTAAACCGAAAAAATTTGATCTGGAAGTGCCAGAAAATGCGCCAAAGGTAAAATCGAATGTCAAATTAAAAACACCAAAAAAGGAAAACACGAAGGTCATCAGTTTAAAGCAGCGGCTGACGGATGTCCACGCCAAACCAAGGAAACCGACGACAAATACGAAATTTTGGTCGCTTTTGAAAAAAGCTACGGTGCTCACGCCGAAAACCAAGTTGCAGGATACTGTGAAAATCGATAACGAGGTGCCACGTGGCTCGTTGTCGCTTCAACCGATTTTCAAGACTGCGGTGCCCGAATTTTCAAATACGGCCGTCAGCAGCGGTTGCGGAAACAAGTTCATTGTAATGTGCCAAAAATTAGATGACCAATACAAACAGGGCTCATTGATTGCTCAAAACTTATCGGCTCATAATAATAGTTTAACCAATAATCATACTGAACACAATAATATTATTAAGGAACAATGTGATATTAGAATAGTGCAACGACCGAAAGTGTTGCGTCTGGACGGCACGAAAAGATGTTACGATTCGATTAATGATTTGTCGCCCGAATACGCGGGTTTATCGTTTGTCAAAAAATTGAAAATATTGAACGAACGTCAGAAGCTGGCCGAACTTGAAGAACGGACGTTCTTGAGAAGCGCCAGTCTGGATTCCGCGGGGTGCAAGAATTTGGACGATCCGTATTCGAGCCAACTGACGCGCAGTCATTCGGAAGCAGTCGCCCTTGAGGTAGTATTAAGAAATCAAAAACTACGCAAGCCGGAACCGTCGAGCATTACGCCGGACGAATGTAACGAAACGGCGGAGCGGATACGACTTAAGAACATACTGAAAAAATTGTCGTCAAACTGTATCGGCAACGACCGAGTCAATCAGTTAATGAATTCGCAGACCATAGAAGGGTACGCGGCCAGACACTCGAAACTGACTAGAAACGTTACTTTCAATCAACGCCGCACCATAGTGGAATCGTCACCGGATTCATGTCACTCCTTGTTCATGTTTCCTGACAATTTAACTCCGCAATGTAGAAATCCTGATCTTGGACCGTTAAATTCGTCCGGTAAGACTGACGTATTAGAGTCTTTACAGTCCGATCCGAACACAAAACTGTCGAAAAGAACCAATACCACCGACACGGTGCAATATTTACCGGACCGGCCAGACATCAAACAACACTGCTACGACGAAATTATAAACGGCGTAAAGACGGTCGTCGAGAAATGTCTAGTGAGTCGATTGATAAAAATAATTCGTTTAAAGTGCATAGGCAGGATTATAGCGAAAATAAATTTAAATTTATAAATTCACTTCTATCTGACATTAATTGGGGAATATATAAGAAAATTGTAAAACTTTTTTTTAGCGTTTTTGGCTAGTCGGATAATTTACATAAATTGTATTTTAATATTTTGCCAAGATTAATATTAAATGTAGTATTGGATTATGAAAAATGTATTATATCAAAAACTAATAATCGTATATTTGAATAATATCGGTACATCAACGACATCTCTCAGCAAACCGTATAAACATAATAATTTTAGTAACCGATTATTCCGTTAGGATTTTTAACTATAATAATATTGACGTTCACTTATTTATATTATACCATCAAAATGTTCAACGTTTTGTTTTAATATTTCCTTTAATAATTAAATACCTGTATTCTGGTCCAATTTTAGATTAAATATAGTTAAAAAAATGTTATGGTTTTTTTTCCTGTCAACAACTTTTCTACAAACAATTTTGCTCCGATTTAAAATAGCACTTTTTCTCTTTTTATAAAAAAGTTAGATCTTTTGTTATTTTTCTATTGGAGTAATATTTCTGATAAAAAACGGAAAACGTAAACATTTAAAATAATAAAATCGTAACACCGTAAATTTATCAGTTATAATTTTTTTTCGGTTTTTCTTAGTTATTTATAAAATTATCAGGAAAATCGAAAAACAAATAACTTATTTACAAATTAGATTAAAAATTCAACAAAAAATGTCTCTTGTTGTTTTTTTACTGGAGCAATATTTTTGGTAGAAAACATACGCTATACAAATTTAAAATAATGAAATCGTTGTGCCGTAATTTTCAAAAAATCGGATTTTTCGTCTATTTCGGTTTTTCCCAATTGTTATGGAAACTATTGTAGATATCAAAAATTGACTTTCTCTGTCACAAGACTATATATTAAATGGAATAAAATCTTTTTTTTCATTTTTCGATTGGAGCACTATTTCTGGTATAAAACATAATGAACAAAAATTCAAATAATTAAACTGGGACTTTTTATGGATAATAACGTGAGTTATTTATTTTTACTCCTAGCTCCTTCCAAGTTTGTCCCTGAGAGGGAGCGACCACTACCCCCTCCCTCATAAGTTGTATGATGTATTTTTGTTACATAAAATATCAATAATTCTTAAGTACAAATAAGTAAAAATGCAAATGGTTTTAAATGCCATAAAGATAATTCCGGATCTTGAAAATACTTTGATTTAAACAAGAATGAAACACTTCTCATTTATAAATTTTAATAAATTTTCTCTCAAGGGTAAAATAGAATTATGGAAAACTAATTGGGAACAATCAATTTGCAAAAATATAATAAAATAATACAGGTGATTTTTGGTAAAAAATTAATGTCGGGCAGAGGTATCACTTTTAAATATTCATCGAAATGAAGAATTAATATAGAAAATACTGTTGCAAAACGCCACTTAAAATAAAAGTATTTTGGACTTGGACATCTAACTTTTATTAATTATTATTATTTTTGTTAGTCATATTATAATTATTTTAATTATTATTTATTTAATATGAAAAAAATTAATTTAACTTTTAAATTGTACTGTTTTACTGCATTTATACAATATATTTGCAGACTTTTAAGCTAATAGAAATTGAAATGATATCAGACATAAAGGTTTTAAGTTTTTGTTGACCAAAGCGGTGGTATTCAAGAATAAAAATTGTTCGCCGTATCCCTCCAAGGAATTGATCCAAAGACGCCAATGAGCAATACTATTAACTGAGTTCCGTTCAGAATCGTTTTTTGTTGGCAATACTTAAATTTACAGATATGTATTAAATTTCCCTCAATATTCTACCTTCCCAACTATTTATTTATAATAGTGTTCAACCCATCGTGCGAAGTGTATCCGTCTTTTTTTCTTATCAGTCATTAATATTAAATTTAATTGTTTCACTCCTCCCCCATATTCAACGTCTAGAAACGCCCTTGGCTCCTTCTTAATCTTGCTGAGATAGTTTTTTGTGCCTTCTAAAAATGTTATTTTAAGAACATGTCCTCTTTCTGCAATTAAGTGAATCAATTCATATATTCTCTTACAATGGTACACAGCCTTTTTTAACTTTACATTGTAAAACTAGGGGCGTATTAATAATTAGTAACAAGGGAATAAGGGAGTCATAAAATAACAGGTGATATATATATTTAAGCTTAACAAAAACAAGATAAAAAATTAAGTTTCCTACCCCCTCGAAAATTTGTTCCAACTAAGGTACTGTTTAATCATGGTTTACCTGCAATTTTTTTTTTCAGACAAACTTATCTCTTGTGTTGGGTAATTAGAGGCCAATCTCTTTATACCGTATTTTGAAAGAATTCACACTGCTTGTATCAAATATCATGCAGTTTTCAGTAAATTCGCTATACGAGCAACATGGCCAATCCAACCAATCTACTAATTTCTATAATTATCTAGATACCTACCAATATGGTATATTACATATTTTGTTTTCGAATTCGAAAAAAATTGGATAACATCATTATCTAAATATGATTAATATAAAATTGTTCATTTCATTTTTTTAATTTTGAATTATTTAAACACATTTAAACTTTTATTTTGTGTGTGTGTTTTTTTTTTGTCCCCAGGACGATCTTGAAGGTAAATACCAAAATAAAATCGTTGAACTCAAGTCGGAAATCAATAAACGAGATTATACAATCAGTACACTCTGTGAACAATTCAATCAGGTAATTTTTAAATGAATATAATTAGCCAATAATACATTTTTGATTTGTTTTAATATTTTCATATTTATCGACGGTCTTCTTGTTTATAGAAACTCTGTGATCAACCCATAGACGAGAAAAAATTAGGAGCTCTACTCGATGATTATTCGAAAAACATCGAAGAAGACGATGAAAATCCGTTTATAGTAAGTTGTGTCCTTATTTATATTCTTTCCCGTTAGATTATTTACTCTGTTTACAGAATATTGCGTGCGTGTAATATAATTTATTAATGTTGGTGTTTTTTCAATATTGAATTGAGTATCAATTGCAGAGAAACGATTCGGTGGACACGATTTTATGTCCGAGGATTTCTTCGTTCAACAGTTTGTCACCGTTTGACGCGGACGATTCGAGGCGCTACGATCCGAATAATTCCTTTAGTCCAGCCTTGTTGTCGAATAAATCTTGGGAAGACCGATCGGAAGAGGAAAACATGGAACTTCGGGATCTGCCCAAATCAATTATCCCAGAACCGTCGTGGCACCAGGATGAAACCAGGATTGAGATGAACTGTACGGACGACGAAGACGAAGAAGAATTCCCGCCTAGGTGGGAAAACTGGGAAGTGGAAATGTTGGTGGGGCATACTAGCCACGCCGATCTCCACATGGATCCCGGGCTGTTGAGCCGCAGATCATTGGACGAGAACAGTATGATCAAACATAGAAGCATACAGGGCAGAAGGAGGTGTTTGTCAATAGACAACGTGCCGTTTTCTAATTCGATATTGAGAAATTTCGGACAGTACGTCCGTTTAGGCAATTCGTCGTCGCAGTCACCTTCACCCGACATACTTCCAACGATATCCAAAAGTTGTTTTTCGTTGATATCACAACCCGAAAATTAGAATTAATCTTGAATAATATTGTTTTGGGTAGGTATACCTAATATAATACATGTATTATAATATTTAACACAAGGGTAACAGGGTAGTTGCGTGGTTATTAAAATAGCATAGAGCTATAGTTTTTTTGTTTCTTGAATATTATTGTAGTGACATAACGGACGACTTTGAATTCGCAGATTTATAGAACATATTTTTTTAATTTTTTTTTAAACTAAATTACAAACTACAGGTATTCGCAGAATATAGCAAACGACCGGCTTCAGAGATTTCTTTTCCAATGATTACAGATAAACAAACACGCATGATGGAAGCAGTGAAAACATTTTTTTTCTTGGTTTTAGATAATAAATCGAAAATTATTTTCTATCAAGTTTCTGAATGGAAGTACTTGAAGTCCTCAAACGAAGCAATTTTGAAATATTTGAAATCGTGTTCTGTGATTTTTTTTCTCGTGTCTACCATGTATGAGGGAAGAACTCATCCCGGGCATCAGGCTTTTTACATTAACTAAATAATTTATTAATCATCTCTAATCCAAAGTACTTTTCCAACGCGACACATATTATTATAATAAAGTTTGGACAACAAATTAATTTGCCTAATTTAATACAGTGGCGCACACAGATAAGGGTTAGGGGGTTAACCCTTCCCCCCCCCAAAACGTCTTCCTTTAATTATTTTGAATTAATTTTTTCATTTAACACCATAATATTTTGTACAAAAGAATAAAATAAAATTTAATTTCATCAAAAAAAATATATTCAGTTATAATGATGATAGTATAGTATAGTATTATACTGATAATATGTGCTATCCATTCTCTAGGAAATTATTATAAACAAAACCGTTACCGAAAAAAATCCTGAGTGCACTACTGATTTAGTACTCAATGTGTTAATAATAGCTGGACAAAAATATATTATAAAGAACTTTTTTATTTGCGCACTTTCTACATTGATAGACCACTTAGTTTATAATAATTAATAATAAAAGCCGCTCTGTTTGTTTAGGATATAGTCGACTATCCACGAAACACTAAAGTTTTACATTTTTTTCTGAATATTTTATTTTGAAATTTAATCTGGATTTAAAATATTGAATTATACTTACATGTAAAAAAAAAACATTATTGATTTTTCTAATTTCGTGAAATATTTTTATATTTGTATATAGATACAGGAAAATGTATTGTATCATTATGCAACTACCCTATATAATATCGATTAAAAACTGTTTGTATTTTTGTTTTTATAAACGTCATATAATTTATAATTATATACGTACTTGGAAAATTTCCTTTGACAACCATTCATTCGGTTGCAACCATTCTTTACAGAATTTTGCATAATTGAAAATAATATTATGATAACAATATGAATATATTTATAATAATTATACCGATAGTTAACTATATTATACTGATCATTATTGACGTAAATGTTCTACTCCAATTAATTAAATTGGTATTTTTTCATCATCTGTTTTCAGAATATTTTCCCTCCGTTTTTCTTTTTCTTTTTTTTACCATTATAATAATAATAATTAGATATAACAATATCGAGTATTATTTTTTTACTATAAAATCGTTAATAATTTACTTAGGACAACTCAATTCGGGTTACACATATTAGTATAATATTGATTTGCAAAATACACGTTTTTATTTAATAATAAGTACTTTTAAATTGTTGTGATTTATAAAGTATAATAGTCGTGTTTAAACTGATTAATATCTATTACAATAATTATTGTTCCAACTAAACTGTATAATATAATTTCAGACCGATATTACGTATAAGACCAAATTTATTAAAAGTATAATAATAATATTATATTATATAATTATAAGTATCTAGGGACCAGCATAATAACACTCAAAAACGTATAAAATATAAATGGCTAAAAAAAATTCTGTACATTAAATATGTTATATATAAATTAGTGTATGACTAAGTTTATTCGTAAATAATATTTCTGCTCAAATTCGGAAATAATTAATTATTTTTGTATAATATTATGGTTTAGGATTATAAATTCGGTCATTAAAATTATTATGTTTTCCTTTGAATATTATCTGCTTTAAATATTTGTTTCAGAATTCCATGTTTTTTTTTTTTTTTTCATAATTGATTTTACTATCAGTTAAAAACTTATTTATTTTATTACCTATATAATATTATCCACCTGTAAATTTCAAACAAAACAATTTGTAACAAAAAAACCATTATATTAATGAACTCTGTGTAAATAATTTATTACTTATGCTAATCGGAGAGAAAATATTATTTCGGGATGATGGAAAAATGACTTATTTATTTATATTTAATTATAATAATTTAATAATATTATACAATGTAAATAAATAATGAATAAGCGAAAATGTGTAATATATTACCAACCTATATATATTATATATATTGTATAGTTAGACGATTATTTTGTACAAAGATAACTTTTTTTTATGGATTGTTTATTCAAAGTTAAATTTATTATAAATACCTAAAATTGTCATTGTTATTGTCATTTTGTTTAATAATTCATATACTTAATTAATAAAGCTTTTGCCTTATATTTGAAAATAGGTACTTTATACACATAGGCGTTTGGCCAGACAAAATTACATGTCTCAGAGTATTGTTGTATAATATATCAATAATATACCAATTTATATTTGAACAAAAATATTATTATACTATACCACCTACATAATTAAGCTGCATTTGACGTTATCAGTTCAGATCCGCTTGGTATATTAACACATACAAATTTTTTAAATAATACAAAAAAAAAGAAAAGAAAAGACGGACATACTTCGCACGTGGTTCGACTACTGTCTAAGGTGAGAAGTTAGGAAAGTAAAAGGGAAATTAAATGTATATCTGTACGCTACAATTAACCGTTGCTAAAGAAAAACGATTATAAGCGAATTTCGGTTATAAGTGTTGCTTTGTCAACAATATACATGTTATAATATGGTAAAATAATTACATAATTATATTATACAATATTTTCTGTAGTAATATATTTGTTTAATATTATATCTGTTTTTCGTTTTTCCGGGTTATTCCCATGTTTTCCCCATATATTGTCAAAACTCCTGGAAATTAAAAAATGACCTATCAATAAGATTTCCTTTCAGAAAAAGTGTTATCATTGTACAAATCTAAGCGAAATAGCTAGTAGAGAAGTTTTCCACAGAAAAAAAAAATTAAAATCATTGTAAAACCAATACTTTCTTCGCTCCACTCACAATCTAAAAATAGGCAAAAAAAGATAATCATATACCAGGGATGGCAAATATGATTTGTTCAATATACCGATTTATCATAATACACGATTTAAAAAATTAAATGTTTAACGTGCCAGTAGTTATTTTAGAGTGTAACACTTTTTTTGAAAGAAAAACCTGACTTGAGAAGCATATTTTTTAATTTTCCCAGGAGTTTTCATAATAAATAAGAAAAACCGAGAAAAAACGAAAGAAAAATATGAAAGTTTACTAAATATATTATTTTTAAATCGTAAATATTAAGGCCTTTTAAAACAAATATAACCGAACACGGCTAAAGTATCTCTCCACACCGATTTCCTTTCAATAAAGATACTACACTTAGAAATCTGAGCAAGTTTTCTGGTAGAAAAATTCTTAACAGATAAAAAAAATAAATAAATTAACATCTTTATAAAACCATAAGCTTCTTCACTCCACTCAGAATCTGAATCAAAATTTTAAAAAAACGACAGACATAATTAGCATGTAGGTGCAACCAATATTGTAGGTAGGAAGTTGGGAAGGTAGAATACAGAAGGGAATTTAATGTATATCTGTAAGCAACGATAAACCATTGCTAACGAAAAAACGATTCTGAGCGGAGTTCAGTTGATAATGGTGCTTTATCAACAATACAATATATGGTATATGTCATAATATGGTAAAATGATTACAAAAATGTAAGTTTGACAACAATAATTGTTTAAAATTATTAAAATAATAATGGCCAATAGCGACCTTGTTTTTAATCTTTCAGTCTTTTTTAACCCAAAGGCCGAGGTTTTCCTCATTATCTCGAATTCTAATGAGCATTTCAAAAAGTGACCTTTTGAAAGTACTACCTAGAAAACATTTCCTTTCCAAAAAGGTGCTATACTTGATATTTAGTGTATGCTTTCTAGTAGAAAAAGTGTTCACATAAAAAAAAAAAAATATAAACATCATTGTAAAACCAATACATTCCTCGTTCCACTCAGAATCTAAAATTAAGATAAGGAGTGAACATAGGTGGAAATTCGATTGGTTTTTAGGGGGCTGGGTTATATTATAGTGATGATCAAAAAATAAACAAAAAGTCAACATCAACAATAAAGATCATTTTAATTACGGAGTCTTTTGTTAAAATTTTGGGGGCTCTAAAAATGTATAGGATACGCTCCTCAAGCCACTGATACCCGATTATGGAAGTGAGTAAAATTAATAGGTTTTCACTATTGATTTGTAAAAGCTGTTTTCAGGGCCCCCTGGAATATTTTGCCTAGGGTCTCGCAAAGGCCTAGCGCCAGCCCTGTACTCAATGTCTGTAATACAAAATTATATAATATCATAGACCTTATACTAATAGACATGAAACTCGTATAACTACAGCAAAGATATGGTAGTGATGTAGCCCGTCTTGACACCAGGTATACTAATTTTGCAATAATACACCAATGCTAATCCAATCGTACGCTTACTGTACACATGCTGCATAATCAAGTTATTAGTTATTACTATTCAGCTCGTAAATAATTGTATATTATTTGTATTAATTGTAATTTATGATTTTTATTTTGTGCCAATAGGTGAGTCGTAGGTACTCGTTAGGTTATACATTATATATTATATTTGGGCATCAAGCAGTCAAGTACTTGGTACTTGAATATTCAAAATATAGGTAATGGCTAATTTTTATTGTGCTTTTATGGTATGCACGATAATTTACAGTCCTTCAGTCACCGAAAAGTGCCGTCTATTTTTCCACGTCCGGCGTGTAATTATTCGGTGTCTATTAGTATAAGGTCTGCGTATAATATACATGATTTATGATTGTTATTATTTTATCATATTGTTTAATTATTCATAATACCCAGGTTAGTTTAGGTTCAGTTAAATATCATGTTATGATATTAATTATTAATTAAAAATACCATCATGTGTTTTGTCATTTATTGTCAACAAGTGATATTTTTCAATATTTAATTTATTAATTACGAAAAATTATACTAAAATAAATAACATATAATAATATAATAAATTATTATTTATATATAGGTACTTAGTTTTATTAATTAAATGTTAAAATAAATTGAAAAATATAAATTAGATAATTGATAAGAGACTGCAATTTAATGCCGCCATTTTTTTTTTTTTTATATCAAAAATGCTTTCTGCGATAACCTTGTGTATTACAATCATGGTTTAACCATTGTTTTTATGCTATATATGTGGTACCTCTAAGAAAATGGTAGTGATTAATCATAGACCTTATACCACGGACCAAGATATATAGGACCGGACATGAGATAATTATTATGGTTACGAAATGTTATAGGCTGAGCGAAGTAGGGGAGAATTTTCCTTTCTATCGGTAGTGTCATCCATTTATCTGAGAAAAATGTATATTGGCTTTAAAAGGTAGTCATACTTAACATTAGTTAAAATATATACGATTATTTATTATATTTTATTACTTGATACTTCAATCATTTTTTGGTATTAATAAGCATTTTCAGTCTACACTCACACAAATAAAAAACAAAGGTTTTCTGCATATAAATTACATATATACATAGTAGTTATAAATTATTTAAATTAATAACAGCAATTGAAGATGGATTAAATAAATATGGACAAGAAATAGATGTTTTCAACAATACAATTGATTATGTATTAGAGAAACATTCAGATTTGCTAACATGTCCTTGTCCAGAAAACAAATCAAAAATTTGAACAACCAAAATGATATTATTATGAAAATGAAACAGTTTACATTAGCTCATAACAGATAATTGAAACAAAATAGTTCGAAAAAGAAAAAGAATCATCAAAGTTTCAAAAATCATATTAAAATAAAAATTGTTCAAACATACCTACAATCTGTGTATTATTTTAATCTTTGCTCTGTTCTAGGCGTACGCATAAAATATTGATATTCCTGATGGTTGGACCGGTTGTAAACTAGTAACTATATAGTAACTACTGTAACTAATTTGTTGTAGGTAATTTGTATTAGTAATTTGATTGATTAGACATTAGTTTAATTTATAGAATTTACTGTGTGAAGCATTGGAGAAATAATATTTAATAATATTGTTATTTGTGTAATATATATATTTAATCCGTGATCTATATAGTTCCATAAGTATTCACTAAGACGTCATTAGTAATATTAGAAAGGCGAATTCCCCTATACGCTTCCCGTTCTATAACATTTCATAGTCAACCCCCCACCTTCCAACCATGTTCGTGTCCAGTCCTGTATGTCTTAGTCCGTGCCTTATACTAAGGTTAGTACAAGGTCTATGTGATTCATGAACAAATTACGTGATAGTAGTGTTCTATGTTGATAGTCGTCTTAGGTCTCTTGTAGTTCTTGTTCGTTATTTTCTAATTTGCATTTGTAAAGTCTATTATAATAATAATTATTGATAACCATAATATCATGTTCGTCATAAACATTAATAAACAATCAAATAAACTGCAATTCATCTTTGAACCAAACTAATTCATAGAGTATAAACAAAGAGACAACATTAAATTTTATCGTGAAGCTTGAATGGACTGGGTAGGCTAGCCACGTTTAGAAGAAAATAATTACTGTACTCACTTCTACCAGTACTAACCAGCATCAACCTAAACAATATTGTAACATGTAAGTAATAATTATTGAGAACAATAGTCTCTAGTAGTTAAAAGTTAAATACTTTATTTCATTTGTTGTTTCTATTAAAATAAATAAATTAGTATCAATTATTATACATATTATACTATACAAATGTAAACAACTCGACAACTTTTGAATACTCAACTTTGATATCATAGGCTTTAATTTTGCATTCATTGATTTGTGAAAAACTACCATTCTTAGAAACATATAGGATGGTTAACTGTCTATACAGCAACCTGACCGGAAATACACCTCTTTGTAGTTTGAAACTGATGAACCTGTTAAAACATTTTTATTTAAGCATATCTTAAACGTATGATTTTGTTGTGTTATTAAAGACCTTATTGCATTTTCAAAACAACCTTCCCAGACTATTAAGCCATATTAGAAAATTAATTAATTTAGCACATTATACACAGTGCGCATAGTTTCTCCAGATAATATTTTGTTTAGTTTATATATTTTAAATATAACAGATCTTAGGCGTATAACCATATCCGAAACATTTGTTTTCCAACATAAATTCCAGTCAAAAATTAATCCCAAATATTTTACTTTTGTTACTCTAATTATATTTTGGCAATTACAGACCCAACCCTTGAGAGTATATTATGTGTATCACATGGGTGTATAACAATATCATCCATTGGTATATTAACATTTTTTATAGAGAAACCTACGAATACACTTTTATTTAGATTTAGCATCAGTTTTTGCTCAGATAATCTCTTAAATACTTTGTTAATTTTTAACAGTTGCTATACATTTAACAGGTATCACTGGAAAAAAGTAGACACATATCATCTACGTATGAAACAACTATACCGTTTATATTAAAATTATATATTTCATTAATGTACAGAATGAAAATAACTGGGCCTACTAAAATGCTGCCTTGAGGAACTCCGAAAGTAATTTCATATTCATCGCTGAAAAAACTATTAATATTTAGCCACTTAAACAATTCATCATAATTAGCTTTGATACTTCTAATATTGGTACACATTATGTATAACAAATTATTATTTATGTTATCTAGACTAATACTATTTATAAAATCAGTTATACATTCTAAATACTTAATACTATAGCCATTATATTTATCTACTTCTATAATATTCATAGTTATTTAAATTAAAAATAACAAAAAATATTTATAAATAGAAACAATACCAATACTAAATCATCTTTGAAACACAGTTTTCATCAATTATAATAATTACTTTAGTCTGGACATAATGTTTAATTCATTTCTAATGCTCAATTTTTTTCTTTGTGCTTTTATTTTCATTTTTTAGGTCCTTACCGACAATATTAATGCTGCTAATTGTTTTTTAAAAGAATCAAATTGAGAGTTCATAAAGTTTACTGATTCAACAACTCCTTTTAAAGTTTCATCTGATATTTTGTTACTTTTCATTATTTTAGAAGTTGAGTTACTTATTGTATTAGGTGTTTTTTTATCTAACAATTCGAACAATACCAAATACCTTTGGTTGATTTAGGTAATTTTCTAAAATTAATTTCTCTATTAATCTGCATAGGTGAAGTGAAGAAATTCATTGAAAATGGAACATTTCAGTTCATCACATAGAAATATTTCTTCATCACTAATCAAACAATATTGTCAATTAAAATTGCGTTTATTGAATAAACAATTATGATATCATACAAAAATAGATAAGCGGATTAACTTTTATTGTTGAAAACTAGTGACTGTTCGCAATAGTAATCAAGCAATAACTGAAATAACTTAATATTTTGATTGTATAAACATTACATAAATTAAAACTTAGTATATAATTTATTTATTAAAATTAAATTAAATACTATTTAGTGATTTAATTTAAAATATAATAAAAAGGATAGTTTAATATAATTAAATAGAATATTCAGGAAAACAATTTTATTTTATTTTAATTAATAATATTAAAAAAAAAAATGTAATTAAAAATTAAAAATTGAACTAAATTATTATAGTTATAGAAATTATAGTTTCTGAAATAAATAGAAATAAGTTTAGTTTTCAAATATTCTTATTTAAAAGATTTGGTCTTGAAATTTTCTTTTTTTTGATTTAGTAGCATATTTTTTCATGTCTTGCATGTTTAGTAAATCAATTTTATAAATGGTCCAATCAGTTAGATTTGCCATTTTTGTAGGATCTAATTGCTCATTATAATTTTCAATTTCAACTCCAAGGATACCCATTAGAGATTTCATCATATCGTCCACATAAGTATGAATTACAAGATCTGCTTTACGGTCCTATAAAAAATAATGTATATTAATTATATTAAAATTAAAATGTAGTGTAATATCCAATTTAGTGTATATACTCATATCAGTATAAAATGTAAAATGTTCCTTCTTTTTATTTTCCTTCATCCCAACTATTTGGAGTCAGTCATCCTTGTCTTAAACTTCCATTTAACCCATCTATCACCTTTATACACCAGCTGTCTTATCATTCTCAATAATATCCAACCATCTCTTCTTCAGTTTTATTTTTAACCTTTTTCCTAATATTTATGTTCATTACAATTCATACTGCTTCTAGATTTCTCTCTCCGCGTAACATGCTCAAACCATCTCAGTCTACTTATAGTAATTTTGTATATTATCTCTACCATGTCTAAGCTACCTCTTATGTGCTCATTATTTATCCTATCTTCTCTCAAAACTTCACTCATTCACCTAAGCATTATCATCTCTGCTATACTCATTCTCTATTATATTTGACTATATACAGCTCTAATTAACTCTAAACTATAGGAAAAAGTCAATCTCAGCACATTTTTGTAGAACTTATCTGTAAGTCTCATTGGAATTCTCTTGTCACATAAAATATTTTTTTGTTTGGTCACATATAGAGAATTTCTCTCATCATGTGCATACAAGTCGCATTGGATGAATACTACAATAGATGATCAATTACAATTTCAGTTAATGCAATCTATTTTTAGATTAAATGTATCTGATAAGACATAGTATAACTTACTTGACAATAAGCTAATATAAAAGACAGTGGTGACCAAAAGAATACTGTGATGAGAGAATTTCTCACCTTATGACCATTTACAGGTTAAAACTCTCAACCCTATTATTAAACCCGTATTATTTTTCAAATGCTATTCTCTATTTCTTAAGCTAATTGCTAACTTATTTCAGATTTTTTACATACACCTGCAAACATTATGCACCATGTATTATGGTACTACCTATTACCAATCACGAACAACTGAAAAGGAATAATCCACCCAAGTTTTGTTTATAGTCTGTCTCACAAATGAAAGGTACCATTCATTATGAATTACTAGTTTATTACTTTACTTTAATTTATTTTATGTTTATATAAAAATTATGAATTGAAAGAAAATTCCCCCACATAATAAGAAAATAATTAATTTTGTTGAACATACAATTTAATTAGGCTTTTCATTGACCCAATATAGGAAATAAAAGTTTTAATACTTACACCCATAGTTCTTTGTAAATTGCAAATGACAACTTTTCCTTTATTTTTTTTTGCTTTAAAAGGGACTAAATTAATTGGTTGGATTTGCAATGATGTTCCCAAACAAACACATAAATCTGCATTGCTATAAGTATAATATAATATACATAAAAATTAGAATGAAACAATTAAGAATTATTTTTATACATAAAATAATTTATGAAAGTTAATGCATTTTTACATGGAGTGCAGTTCTGCCATTTGTAATTCATTAGATGGTAGTTTGTGCTTCCAATCTAAAATTGTATCATGTAAAATGCCTCGACACAGATTACCTTTTTTGGTTCTTCTTAAACATCTAATATTTAAACTTTGTTGGCCAACTGTATTTACAGCTGTTTGACTAGTAAAGGACCTAATAGAAAATAAAATATTATAATTAAACACAATTTGTGTATAAATAGGTAGTTGATAATATTTATAGGACTAAAGGGAAGAAAAATGTATAAGGAAGTTATTATACTTTACATATTCACTGTTCAAAATAATAATTTACCTATTGCATTTATTACATTTCATAGTAAACATGTTTCCATGAACTTCAGATATATGTTCACGGAGTAATCCAGATTTTAAATGTAAACCATCAATATTTTGACTCACCACATACTTGACATAACCTAGAAATCATAATGTACAAGACAATATAGTTCTCAATGTTTTAATGGTTTTTAGTAGTATTTAAAAATAAATATTCAGCAAACAACCTTTTTTAATCAAACTTTTGATAGCCATATGAGTTAAAGTAGGCATCGCATCATTGAAATCTAAGTTAATTTCTGGTTTTTTCCCTTGTTTTTCTAAAGTCCATACTCCTTTTGGACCCCTAAAATAAATATTAATATTAGTTTTATAAATGTGTTTTATTTTTAATAAAATGTTTGCAAAAATGTGCAAGTAATAATTAACCTAAAATCTGGTATACCAGCAGATGTACTTATTCCTGCGCCAGTATGGAAAACTGTATGCTTGGATGTTTTAATCCAATCAGCAAGAAGGGAAATCTTTTCGTTTAATTCATCAGGTGTATCAAAATTCTAAATATATAAATAAAATAATTAAAACAAAAGTATTTAAATACTTACTTATTTGTACAATATAATAAACATAAACATACTTCGACCATACCAACTTCTCCTTTGTTTTTATAAGGTGATAAACCTTCAACATAATTACTAAACATTTGGATTGAAATTAATATCCTCCAAAATGCTACCTATATAAATTAATAAAAAGATAAATTAATTTATTAAAATCATCATATTACAATGGGATATAAGGTTTTTACTAAAACCAAGAAATTTAACGGGCGAGGGACTGAAGAGCTTTTTTTTTGGACAAATACCAACATTTTTAAATTGAATAAGATTATTTCCGAATCATTTCGAGAGGTTTCATTCATTTCATTACAATTATATCACACTCTACATAAATACTCCTCTAAAATGGATTAGAATTGAGTACTTTAATATTATGGGTTTTTTTTTGGCTATAAACAAATTTTCATCAAAAAAAAACTTGCCCCTATTATCAACTTTACACTATTAAAATTTGTATAGTTTTTATTATGTTAAATAATAATTTAATTTTAAAAATACTCCTGTCTTTTTTTGAGTTTATGGCTATTTGAAATTGTTGAGTAATATCGAATTAATTAAATTATAGTTTTTAGTCTTTTTCTTAATATTGAAAAATCTTATATTTCATTCATTCTCTTATAAAACATTATCTATCTAATTACATTTATCTACAAGACACAAAATATCTAAGCATTGAAATGAGTAGTATTAAGAAACTAAATATTGTAAATAATTTTAAGTTTAATTTTGTTAAACTAATTTTAAATTAATTACAAAATGTTTTAATATGTTAAAAAAACAAAAATACTCCAAAATAGATAAAACAATTGATAAACAAACAGTTGGTAAAGTAAATTATTAAATATAAATGGCAAAAAAAGGTTATATCATGTTGAAGGATAATAATATATTCAATTAGATGTACTTCCAGTAAGCAATATATTTTATAAAATCATTGCAATTTATTTATTTATTTATTTTCCAATTTCATGGATTAAATGATAGATTTTCAGGAAAGAAATGTTCACATTATTAAACCAAAATAAAAAACAACAAATGCATTTTGGATAATTTGTCTAAAAATATTTAACACAATGACTAAATTTATAATTTAAGGAGATATAATTTGTAAAATTTAAAATTGTTTATAACTGTTTAAACTACCTACATAAATTTATCTTCTGATAATACATGACCTTCTGTCAATAAAGTAAAATATTTATTCTTTTTACTGTGATGGGATATTCTCAGAATTTAAAGTGGGGGAATATTTTCAAGAACTGGTATTCAGTAATTTGTTATAAATTTCTAAATAATGGTAATTTTTATTACATACTAGTTTTAATTTCTACCAAGTCATAAACAAATATTATGGCTAATTCAAACATAAAAAAGGACAAACATACTTCCCACTTGGATGCAACCATTTTTGTAGATAGGAAGTTGTGAAGGTAGGATACAGAAGGGAATTTAATGTATATCTGTAAGCAACGATAAACCATTGCTAACGAAAAAAAAACGATTCTGAGCGGAATTTAGTTGATAATGGTGCTTTGTCAACAATACAATATATGGTATATGTTATATTATGGTAAAATGATCACAAAAATGTGCGTTTCCATGACAACGATTGTTTAAAAAAGATTAAAATAATAACAAAAAATAAATAAAAATGGTAGCCAATGACAACCTTATTTTTAATCTTTTAATCTTTTTTGATCCAAAGACCGAGTTTTCCTCATTATCTCGAATATTAATGAGCATTTCAAAAAATGACCTCTTGAAAGTACCACCCAGAGAACAAAAAATAAACGTCATTATAAAACCAATGCATTCCTTGCTCCATTCAGAATCTAATATTACCATCCTAATTTAATGATTCATAAAAGTATATAATATTTTTTTATATGAAAATTAAAGTCACCTTTTTTAAGTAATTATATTCCCAGCGGTTCTCAATGTATTAGGTATAGGATGACGAGACACTAAAAATGAAATCGATTTATATCACTTATAAAATAAACGGTTCTTATTAGTACCTGCTTAACTTGAAGTAAACGACCACGATACCTTTCTAGAACATATAGATGACTAACAGTGATAATTTTAACTATAAATAGTAGTTGTTAGACATACTCAATCAATGCTGCTACTATAAGGCTGTATACAGTTTTCAGTAAAAATGATAAGAAATCGTAGCCATATCGGCCTACACGAACGCCAACTTTAAGGAAAAAATATTGGTTCAAATTATACATTCATGAACATGATAACCGATCTTGTGCAGAACCACTTCGGGTAAGTAGCAAGGAAAATTGTTTTCCCAATAAATAGGAAAAGACTAAGGAAAACAGATAAATTATACATTTTATAGATTTTTAATTATAAAAATCATGTCTAATAATAACATTAATAGACATTATAAAAGTTTATCAAACCATATATATATAAAAATATATACTCAATCTCCGATTAATAACCATTTATTGCAATTAATTAAAGTAATATTAAAACAATATTTAACTACTCGACTGCATCATTATAATAAAGAACTCACACAACCGACAAATAGAATTCGATCACAATTCACGAAATTAATCATATTCAAACATCAATAAATTCAATTAAATAATTAAATTTTAATCTATAACTTGTATCATGTCCGTTTTTTAAAAACTGGTTTTTATTTTGCATACAAACTCATTAATGTTTAAATATTAAACTTATTATTTTCAATTTTGTATTATTAATGTTTTACATCTGTGGAATAAAAAAATTACAGTATATTCTATTCCATGATATGGAATTATGGTTTTTCAATATATCTATATTTCTTACTCAATACCTACTTTTCCTGCGATTGCTGAGGGGGTTGAATATGCGATCCATAGTTATTAGGTCTATGACTATAACTTATTTATATATAGCCGTATTGGAATTAGGTACTTATCGGTTATTGCGAAAACACGGTTATGGAAAAATACAAAATACTAAAATATTAAACTATGATACTTTAAGAAAGATCGGTTGGTAGTTATGATTAAACCGTATAATTAAAAAAAATGTTTGTATAGATTGGCAACATTGAAATATTGTGACTGACCTCTTATCAATTTTCTGGAAACTAACTCATTGCTATTATAATATAATATTATGTCTACAAACTATATTAACCTAGGTATATATTTTAAGACAGTTAGCCATCTCTAGTAAGTAAAATAACTGTGTCGTACTGTCGTTCATTCCAGGTAGTCAAGTACTGATAGGAACCTTTTATGAGTTTATGACACGATTTAAGATAATATTTTATCAATCTACGGATAAGAACCGTTTATCAGTGACTAACCATGGCTAAACCATAGACATATTAATAATTAGACTGCGCTTTCCTCACCTCTCGTCATTGGTGTTCGTGAAGAACATTGAGTTAGATGAATAGCTATAGAGGAAACCATAGATGAAATATTTTTAAATTTTCAATTCTCCATGAATTGATTGTTATTATTTCCACTGTAATAGACGAGATTAATCGTTACGTTATAATCTTAAATGATAACGAATATGGTTCGAAACAAATCGCTATCATAGTTCATTCCATAAGAAATGCATTGCCCGCTTTTATAATTCATTCCGTTTTTTAACCTTTTAAAATTGTTTTCTTATTTTTGTATTGGTTTAGCTATGATGTTTATTATTATTTTTTTAATTTTTTTTTATTTATCCCGTGTACAAAAATTCGACTATAAATCTTGTTCAGATATGTACACGTGGCACCATTTCTGAAAAGGAATGTTGTCCAGATGGTACTATAGGATGGTCATTTTTTGATTTTCCAAGCGGTTTTTATAATATCTGGGAAAAACCATGATAAAACGTAAGAAAAACAGCAAATTTTAAAAAATAATACTTTTAATAATTTTCAATTTTGTTATTTGTTGTTATTCAGTTAAAAATATTCGTAAAGACTTGAAATTTGGATAGAAAACTTATATTTGCCTTTCTAGACGCGGTAAACTTTTCAACAAATTTAAACCATTTTTGAGCTATTTATAGATATTTAAATTTTGCGAGTTATGTATGTAAATTGTGTTCAATAGGTACTCTGTGATAAAATTGTTAGACTTAACAAAAATGCTTGAAAATTTAATAGGAGGTTCATTATATCTTACTTTGAAGCATAAAAAAAAAAATGATTAATGTAGAAATTGTTTTTATAAAGAAATTTTGATACATTTTGACGAAAATTGTTTGAGTAAAAAATTATGTGGAACAAATCGAATTTTTCAATTTTTTTTTATTTTCGAACATATTTGTATTGCCGATTTAACAAGGATAGTAAAGTCAGAATTAAGCGGACTGATACGAACTTATAGCTTTTTGAAGTTTAGATATTATGCAGATATTACATGTTTATGTTAAATAATTCTATATTAACATTATTGTCTTCATTTGTAATAGTCGAATGGTCATAAATACGTATTATCAGACTAAGGGTTGCAGGTTCAAACCCGGCATTTGAAAAGAAATTTTTTCCACTTTTTTTACCTCTTTCATCTAAACGGGAAAAAAACAAAAACACTTTAAGTATACCTAGAGACCTAGCTATTGCTTCCTCGGACGATAATAATCGAAAAATATCTTTGATTTGTTGTGTAATTTTTTCAACCAGAAATGTTGCTCCCATGTAGCTTATTTTCTGAAAGTATATTTTATCCCCATGATTTAGGGAGGTCATTTTTGTGATTTTTCAATCGGTTTTCATTATAACTGAGAAAAACCGGGATGCAATGTCGGAAAAACGGAAAATGTACAAAATGTAGGTATTGAAAAAAATAATATGGCCTTTCTTTTCTGTATACAATTACCAGCAATTTTGCTCCAATTTACAATGATAGCACTTTTTATGATATTAAATCTAACTGAGAAGATACTTTATGGAGGTCATTTTTCGATTTTTCCAAGAGTTTTCTAAACAAATTTGATAATCTGGTAAAAAACATGGGAAAACTGGGAGAATTGGTACTACATTAGACAAATATTATTAAAGAAAATTTATAATATCTATTTAATTATTTTACCATAATATGAAATATATATTGTTGAC